TGAACTTAGAAAGTCCCAGACACTATTCCAAGAATTTACTTGTATTATCTCATTTAATTTGGAAACTTGGGTGATGAAATTATACTTATTTGAATACACATCTCAGTAACCTATACTTTTTCTTAAGAGCTTTTATCACAATGGCTATTTAAACACTTACTGTGTAATTCATAGTTTAAAAGGCTGACTTTCCCTTCTAAAGGGTAAACTCCACTAGGGCAGAGGTGGTGGCTTTCCACCGCTGTAAACCGAGGGCAAAGCAGAGCTCCTTGCTCAAAATAAATACTCAAAACCTGTTTGTTGAGAGCTTTTTGGGTTAGGCATCCTTGAGTTCTGGGGGCAAACCAGAGCACAAATTTGGAAGATGAAGGACCAAACAGCTGAGATTATTAAGTCTCTAGTTATATACAACTTTTAGAAGTAATTGTTTAGATTATATTACCCAAGAATGAGGGTTATTTTTTTTCCATAAGCTAGGAGTAGAAATAGTCATGAGCCACATTCAAGGAGGGCAAGGATAGAGTTAGGAATAAAGAAAAGGAACATAGACGGAATTTTTAAGACACTGAACTTCATCTATGTACTTTCCTTCTCGTTAGGTTATACAAGGACTCACTCTTTCAAGGAGCCCGGATAGCTCAGTCGGTAGAGCATCAGACTTTTAATCTGAGGGTCCAGGGTTCAAGTCCCTGTTCGGGCGAAGTTCCTGGTTTTTAGCGTCCCAGAATGAGTAATTTCACACGACATATAGGAATAGATTATTATAGATGACGAAATGAGAGGTGTTTTGGCCCACATGTGCGACTCATGGAAGCTGAAAGATGCCGAGGCGAATACCTGGGGCCTCTATAGTCGAATGAAGAGAGATAATATTTAAGGATTGTGCCAGAACTAGATCCTTGCCTATTAAATGCCATTTAATTAAAAATAAACAAATAATAAAAGCCAGAGTGAAGTTACTGCACCCCCTTTGTAAAGGATGTAGTTAGTCATTTGTAAAATTTAAAAATAACGTAGAAGTCCTCTACTCAAGAGTTGGTTGGTAAATGAGTGACTGAAGAGGTTTTCTGGACATCCAGATTCAGCAAAGGTAACAGGACACACCAGTCCCAACAGCCAGGAGGTAGGTTTTCTTTAGACAAAGTTCGCAACGTTGTGTCGCAATGGCCAGGAGGTAGATTTTGGATAGACAAAGGCCACAACCTTCGAATGGTCAAACGAGGGCAAAACAGGACTGCCCCCTCTGAGGTTCGAACTCAGGACCTTCAGATTATGAGACTGACGCGCTGCCTACTGCGCTAAGGAGGCAGATAGTGCAAGCTTCTAGTCAAGTATTTTTAACACTGGATTTTACTTTGCTTCAACTAGTTCTACTCTACATTTCCATTGAAAATGAAATGCTCTCCTGCAACGACGTATAAACACAACAGCTTCTACAACCTGAATCCGATGAAGAGAGTCGCTGTTGATCCCCCTGCATAGTTCTGAACTGATGACCCACCCCACCGCCCCTCAAAACTGAAGGAAAATGTCAACCTCCTTCCCAGAAACCTGCACCTAACCTGCACTACCCTCGTCCATTGCCCTCGTCTCGAGGAAAGAGGAAAAAGTCCCGCTTCCTCTCTCCTTCCATACGCGATCCTTCTCATCAGTATTTTAAACACATTGAAGTGTTTACTAACTTGAACAACAAAACATTTCCTCTAACTCGTCGCCTGGGTATCCAACTGCCGCTCTATCTCATTCGGCCCTTCACAGGCATATTTCCCATAAAATCGTCTGTCCTCATTTTAAGAAAACACCTCCCCGAAGTCCTATCAGCTTTTCAACAGACTACAATCTCCCCTGACCAATCCCTCTGTCCCGAGGAAGTCCAAAGGGGGTTTCTGGATATATGGGACTTACAGGTTTAAAGACTAAGGTGTCGTCCTTAAAAAAAAAAAAAAAGGAATAAGGTGTCCTTGGTGCAAATTCTTGGGAATCTGTTGGTATGTGAAAGCTCTAGTTACAGGAACAGGAAGAGGTGAAAAGCTTGGTTTACTTACTGTCTTGATTTGCCTGGGGGATGCCCTGGTTTTAGCACTGAAAGTACCCCTTCCCGGAAAACCCCTTTCCAGGGTGAGAAAAGTTAGGGTTTTCGGTGTTCCCAAATGGGTGAGGACAGTCGGGGAAAGTACAGAGAAACCCGATGACAGCTTCACCCTCTCACTCACCCATCCCGCCCTTGGAGTGCTGAGAGGAACACTGATTTCATTGTGAAAAGGATGCGGCACATACCATTCGACTTCCGTAGCTGCAGTCTCTGTTTTTCCCCGGCCACTGATTTTGGCAGCCGTAATTTTCGGGTCAAGAGTTTTGCATTCCTTTGAAGGCTGTGACTTAAATTTGGGAAACAAGAGTTTTGTAGTCGTGAACTTTAACCGTTTGGCTCTGCCTGTAGATTAATTGTGCTTTTTATGGAAATAGAGTTAGATTAATTTTTAACGCTGTGATTAGTATGACCATATTTGTTAACAGTCTAGATAGAGAAAATGAGAACGATTACCATATGAATGCCAGCGTGGCCAAGACATCACTGAAAAAGTGTCAATGACAGACAGAAGAACACATGTAATAGGATTAGAGATGTAAATAACTCAGAGTACTGCACAATATGTAGAAAGAATTTGCATTTGGAGATGGTGGAGAAGGAAGTGTGAAAAGTCCGTGGGGAGACTGACTCTCCCAAGTCTAATCTTGGGATAAGAAAGGACGGAAGAGAACTTTTGAATCAGAAGTTTTTTCGTCTTCAAACGACACCAATGCCCAGTCAAAAATAGCATTGGGAATAAAACTTGGAAAGAATACACAGTATCTTATTGACTGCTCGAGTTTCTGATTCAGAGGTTGCAACCTAGGGGCAAAAAAAAAAAGGAGGTGGGGAATTTGATACTATTTATCCGCCTATATCCGCCTCTTGCAGTGCGGAGCTGATTCTGTCAGATGACCTTGCTCTCTACACTTTAACAACTTCAAGTGATGTATCAAATTATGGCAACCAAAAAAACTTGCCCTAGCTCCTAGGACTTTAATTTGAAACATGGTGTTGAAATATCTTCTTGATTCGTAGGTGGAGTTAATAAAACTCCAACACCCACTGGATGTATAAAACAAGCGATTGTTGATATCTTGTTCAAATACAAACAAGATCTTGTTCATCTATCTGCATATTTGGCAGATAGTACAAATGTAAACTCTGGCAAATTCCATTTAGCCTTACCAAAGAAAATGAAAAGATCTTATCTGCTAAACGTGCTACACACTTTGTATCCATAACAGTGCTTGAAAAGACTATGGTTTGCTTACTCATGATACTGAGGCTTTCATGGTTTATTGAGGTTTATGGTCACTTTTTAGTTTCTTCAAAATGTGCAGAAGCACGTAGAGTGATTTCTGA